CTTATTACAGATTACGAAAATAGTATAGTATGATTTTTAATATTATATGTGATTATATAAAATAATGTCATTTTTGTTACCGCATGATACCAAGGACAAAGCAGAATAAAAACGCCAAATAAATATGTTAATTCAACTCTTATAAAAAGAAATTAAATAAAAAATAAAAACATTACTTGTTTTATTAATAATTGATAAAAGATCATAAGTAAATAATTTCACATCTATTATATAAAAATACATTTACAATAGGTTTGAGTTTCAAACGATCTAACATTTGAGGTTGAAAATAAAAAAATAAAAATAAACAATGATTAATTATATATTGAATTAAGATTGGTCTAATTTGCTTAATGGTGGTGGGATATAATCTTTGAAAATATCATAAAATCTTCTATAAGAATAATTTCTTATTAACTAAATTTTCATCCACAAAATAAATAAAAATAAATTAATTAAATTGATAAACTTTTGAAACTGAATCCATCGAATTTTTGGGTTGGCTAAAAAACTGTGCAGCAGGGTGCCGGTGACATTTTTGTTTGTTGATGTGTTACGCATCCTTACCTATGTTATATAGAAATGGAATTACCTATGTTATATGGAAATGGAAAATCGTATGAAAACGTAAAAGCGAATTTAAAAAAAAAATAGAAAACAGAAGCGTATTAGAAATGTATATCCTATATATATATATACTAGGTGATTTTCCCGTGCTCATGCACGGGCTTAAATATTTAAGAAATAAATATATTATAATAGTTGATTGATATTTACTTTAAATTTTATATTAATTTATAGTTTGTATGTATAATTTGTATTAATAATATTATATGTTTTAGTTATTATAATTTTATATATATTATATTTAGTCAGTATTATCATTTGGATATATATATATATATATATATATATATATATATATATATATTGGATTCTTTCTATTCTATGAATTCAACTATAATATTTTTTATTCTATATATCTTAAATTTTTGATTAAATATTTTATTTACATTTATGTTGGTTGTTATCTACGAAATATAAGTATATCTTAGTAAGATTATGTATTTTAAGATTTTTTGTGCTTAGAACGAAAAAAATAAAAACTAAAGTGTCTGATTCTAAATTACATAAGTAATAATAAATTTTTGAAAGCTTATGAACACATATCAATATTTACAATAATTAAAATATTTTATA